AGAAGTGGTCCAAAGGCAAAGTTCGGGACAAGCTCAATAATCTGGTCTTGTTTGACAAAGCGACATACGACAAACTCTGTAAGGAAGTTCCCAACTATAAGCTTATTACTCCAGCTGTTGTCTCTGAGAGACTGAAGATTCGAGGTTCCCTGGCCAGGGCAGCCCTTCAGGAGCTCCTTAGTAAAGGACTTATTAAACTGGTTTCAAAGCACAGAGCTCAAGTAATTTACACCAGAAACACCAAGGGTGGAGATGCCCCAGCTGCTGGTGAAGATGCATGAACAAGGTAAACAAGAACCCAGGGGCCCACAGAGTAGAAAGTATACATCCCACTTACATAAGGCTCTGCAATTCTGATTCTTTTATTTTTATTTTTTACAGATCCTACCAACTGTACATTTTGGAAAATAAAACTTTATTAAATCAAATAGGCGGGTATGTCTCTTTCCTAGGAAAAGTAGTTAACAGAAAATAATAGGTATGGGTTTGTTGACTTGTCGTTACGCCTTATGGTGGTTGGAAAAGTTATCAGGAAACAATTGGCTTTTTTTCTTTATGTGACTGTTTGTTCCTTGCTGCAGCTTCCGTTTTGAATTGATGTCTGAAAGGAAATGAAGGGTTAGCAGGATGAAGGCTGACCTCTCCAAAGGGGTAGTGGTTTGGAGTCCTGGCACTGTATGTGTACCTGGATTGCCAGCGGCGTCCGTTATTCCAGACCCGGCCAAAAGAGGGCAGCCAGCCTACGCTGGTGCTGGAGCTGTGATCAAAGTTGGCCCCAACTCTGTCTGGGGGGAGTTTCTTCAATTTCTGTTTTTCCTCTACAAAGAAGTAAACTGTTTTTAAACAGTTTTGAGTAGGAAAATTTAGAGAATCCATTCTTGAATTTGTTTACTTACTTTCTTTAATAAATTCTTCATAGGATGGTCCTATTTGTTGGTTTACAGAGTTGTGTTCCTCATCCTGGACCATCCAGGGAGGTGTAGCACCTGGAAAAGACCCATTAAGCAGGAATGAAGGCACTCTTCCAAGTTTCAGACTACTGTGAAACATGCCCTAGCTATAAACTCTTACCTAATTGACAACTGGAAATGTTCAAAGCAAAACCCAGGAATTCTGGACCATGGGAAGTTGGAGGGCCCTGGGCTAATTTAAAGCAACATTATCTTAACGTGTGATATGCTGTACTGGTATTTAACAGCTTTGTTGACGCATAACTGACCTGCAACTGCACACATGTAAAGTGTGTAACTCGAAAAGCTTTTGAGTGAAACCATCACAATCAAGATACTAAACATCACGACTATGTATCGTTCTGCCCCTTTAAAGTACTTCCTGCACCTCTCTGTACCTTTTCCCAGCCCCAGGCAACCATGGATATGCTTCTGTTAATCTAATTTGCATTTGCTGGTATGTACTTTTTTAGGTCTGGCTTCTAATAGTTGAGATTTATCTATGCTGCACTTAACAGTAGTTACTTCTTTGTTGAGCACTGCTCTGTTCCTTCGTTGAGGCATATTTGGATTGTTTTCAGTTTCAGTTTGAGGGTACTGCAACTAAAGCTGTGACCATCTGGTGTGCAAGCCTTTGTGCAGACATGTTTGCTTTTCTCCTGCAGTGTCTGGATCATAATGGTGGGTGTGTGTTTAGCTTCCTAAATCCCTGAACTGTTTCTCCAATTGGTTCTGCCATTTTACATTCCCACCAGCAGTTTATGAATGTTTCTTCACGTACACAGTCTTTAATTTTAGCCACTCTGATGAACATCTTTTTGTATGCCTCTACTGAGTTTTGAGAGTTCTTTATATATTCAAGATACAGGTCCTTGATCAGATAGCACTTTATCATAATCAACTTTATTCTTTAAAAAAGTAATTGGGGTGCCTGAGGGGCATAGTCGGTTCAGTGTCCGTCTTTAAGAGATTTATTTCAGAGCGGGGGGAGGGGGGCAAAAGAAGGGAGAGAGAATCTTAAGCAGACTCCGTGCTGAGCATGGAGCCTGTTGTGGGGCTCAATCTCACGACCCCCAGATCAGACCTGAGCTGAAACCCACGAGTTGAACGCTGAACTGACTGTGCCACCTAGGTGCCCCTAAAATAAATACTTAAAATAATTACCTCTTACCATCTGAGAAACACTGCCCTGGGCCTTACCTGAGTGGATGTTACCAATTCCTGGTGTATCCTGTAGTTGGAAATGGGGGAGGGGGGAGAAATCCCAGATAAGAAACTGATGACACTATGTTCCTAGCTAGAAAAAGGACAAGCCACGGGGGGGGGAAGCACCACAGTGGTGTTCTGTGCCTTGGCTGGTGTTAAATTTTAAGAGCACAGATAACTGAAAGAGTCCTGTCCCTCAAAAGACTCACGGTCTCAGTAATGAAGATGTCCAAAAACAGAGTGCCTACTAGGTGCTACGTAAGCAAAACCCTTTCCTCATAGGGCAGTATGTATCGTAGGGGAAGAGATTTAAGCATAAATTTACACAGATTACATTTACAGCTTTTTACATGGTCCCATGTACATTTACAACAGGCAACCTGTGCACATAAGCCTTCCATGAAAAGGTGACCTTTGAGCTAGGCTGAAGAAAGGCCTATTATCTAAGGCAATGGCAATGACACGTGCAAAAAACTCAAGACAGTATGGCTGGAGTATACAGGACATCAGGTGAGGCAGTCACTTTCTGTGTTCAGGACAGGATTGCAGGGGGGATAGAAACTTCCAGAAAAGTGATGGAGGACATTCAGCCAGGAGGTAAAATAGGCCTACTCATCGACAGGATGTAGGAGATGAAAGAGGAGGAAATAACTCCACAGTTGGGGAAATCTAGGGATGGTAGGGGTTAGCCTCAGGTGCCTGTGGGATATTTACAAATGTCCTAAATTGAGCAGGAACTGGGGGTTCTGCAGAGGATGAGCTGTAGGAGTTGGCACTCCTTAGTGGCAGTGGGGGCAACGGGCAGATGTGATCACTGGAGGGTGAGGAAAGAGGTCTGAGAAAACACTATGGAGCGGTGCAGCAAGACACAAGAGCCCAATGACCAGAATAGGTACAAAACCCAGGAGAGATGGGTGTCCTGGGAATTGAGGGGGCACTGGCCCTTCCTAAATGGCTTATCCATTGTACCTGATGGCCAATGAATGTCAAAGGTTGTCCTGTCTCCATCCAGTCAAGTGCTGGGGCAGGTGGCAGGTCCAAGTACGAAGGCTGCTGTGAGGTGGAAGCCACTAGACTGAAAAAGACAAGCAGGAGCCAGGCTGGCAGATGAGGTCCTTGTACCATGAGGATAGCAGAGATGAACTTTTCCCATTTTCCAGCCAAAAAGTTACAGAATGCTCTAACAGGCCAAACTCTCAAGAGATTCCTTAGCAATTTTACCTGTTAGTCCCTTTCCAGCTTCCAAATGCTGAAGAGCCTTCTTCTGGGTCTGGCACTGCCTGAGGCTGAGTTTGATTCAGGAAAAATAAATGTGTCTTGGATGCTTAAGAGTCTGCCTAGGCCATGCTCCCACCCTCCAGTAGGAAACAAATTGGTATACTGGCCTATGGTACTGCCCATCTTGCAAACTTCCCTCCCTCCCAGCTCTGCCCACATCGCCACTGACAAGGCCTGCCCCCTGGCAGACAGGTGAGGGAATTCAAGCCGAGCAGATGAAGCATGGAGTCCATGAGTTCTTTTAGAAGAGCTGGTAGGTGAAATGCTGGACCTGGGAGAACCAGGGATCAAGTGGATTTGGATACTGCTCTGGCTCCTCCGAGGGACACCAACCTCTAAGACGGACCGAACCAGCTCCTGCCGGCTTTGCTCCACCTCACGGATCTGAGCTGCCATCTGTGAGGGAGAGGCTGCTTAGCTACGCACAAGGTCATGGGGCTGGGTCCTTCAGTGGCCTTTTAACTCACCTCTTTGATCACCTCATCTTCCTTTTCCTCATAGGTATCCAAACCTTTCACCATGGATTTCTTGAATCTAAAAAGAAGGGCAAGTCAGCCAAGAACCCCAGTCCCTGCCAGTTATGAAAACATCTTCAAAAGATCATTTTTTCTTCAAATTTTGGATAATTTCAAAATCAAAATAGAACAATAAACACCCATGTACCTTTCACCCAGATTCACTGTTAACATTCTGCCATACTGGCTCTTCTCTACTATGCACACATTTCCTTTTTGCCAAATCAGAAATGGGCTTTAGAACATCATGAGACTTACACTTGTTTTATCCTACAATACACACAGAAAGGTATCAGAAAAATACTACCATCGACAATAAAACTACTAAGCAAAGCTCAGGATTCCTCCGCAGTACTTTAGTCCTTGGAAAATATCCTAAGGGTATACAGTCAGAATGTGTGTTCAAGTTACTTGAATTCTTACTCTTTAGTGACTGTTATCAATTTGATATATAGCTACGATAATCTGTCATTGTTTGCAATCAGTTTTAGGATTTTTTTCCTGGTAAAACACACGTAGGGGAATGGCTCTACCACAGTGCCCTGGCAGCCTTGCACCTATTTGGCCAAAGCCTAGAACCCCAGCATCAGAATCCTGGCTGAGCACCTGTGTGATGCTCCTGGAACACAAGAGGAAAGGAGCTGAAGGAAGCTGAAAGGAGCTGCTGTGGGGCCATCTCCCACTTGCCTCCTTGTCTCCCCCCCACACACACCCCGGCTGTCATGAGAGTTTCTTATCACCTCCCAGGTTCCAATGTAGTATGCAGCTTTCTGCCCACCGCTCTCAGATTAGAGCTGCAGGCCACACTGGGCTCCCCAGAAGCAGGGTGTCACATTGCAGTTAGCTAGCCCTTTTTGTTTCAGAGTGGTCCTTTTTGGTGGGTGGGACAAGGACCTGGGAAGCTGGCACTTCAGGTTTATTCTCTTTGCTATGTAAGTAATAACCTGTCTAAATCTAAAAGTGGCTCGTGGTATCTTTACCAAATCAGTCAGACTTGGCTTTGCCTTGTGCGTGTGAGCTTTAAATTTATAAGGTTCAAAAGTCAAAACTGGGGCACCTGGGTGGCTCAGTTGGTTAAGTGCCTTCGGCTCAGGTCATGATCCCAGCACATGCTAGGATCGAGCCTGGTGTCAGGCTCCCTGCTCAGCAGGGAGTCTGCTTCTCCCTCTCCCTCTGCCACTCCCCCTGCTCGTGCTAGCTTTCTCTCTCTATATATAAATAAAATCTTAAAAAAAAAAAAAACAACTATTTAATAAAACCTCCAAGAGTCCATCCTCGTAATTCTCAATTACGACTTTTTCTGCTAAACTATTCTTTATTCCCACCACACACCATTTGGAGCTGGGCCAGGGTGTAAGGAGTGAGTGCTTTTTGGCCTCAGTTCCCCATTTCCCACCCAGTCTGAACCACAGATTTGAAGACAAGGTAGTAGGATTTGGGCATTTCTCAGCATTCCCTCATTATTCTCCACACTGAGTAGGAAACAATAATAGATGTCATGAGCTTTTCTGTAATTTTGGTTCCGGGATCCCCTTGGGTTCCATTCCCCATAATCTCAATATTGTCCCAATAAAAGTAGTGTGAGGCTGTGTCCTTTTCCTGAAGCAGTCAGCACTCACGCCCACTCTGTGCTGACTAGCTTACTGCACTCCAGTTTCTCAGGGTCCTCTAGAGGCTAGTTAAAATAGAGTCTAAAACTTCAAAGTGGGCACTGGGTGAGTACCAGTTGCTTGCACACACTATAAAAAGCCTCTTTTACTCCTAAAGGACCTTAATATTCTCTGTACCACACATTTAAATAATCGATTATAGGGCGCCTGGGTGGCTCAGTTGGTTAAGCGACTGCCTTCGGCTCAGGTCATGATCCTGGAGTCCCTGGATCGAGTCCCGCGTCGGGCTCCCTGCTCGGCAGGGAGCCTGCTTCTGCCTCTGACCCTCCCCCCTCTCATGTGCTCTCTCTCTCTCATTCTCTCTGTCTCAAATAAATAAATAAAAAAAAATTAAAAAAAAAATAATTGATTATAGACAACTTTTATTATATACAGTTCTCTATTTGCTAAATGCATTGTAAATCCCATCCCCCAACTAGATACAAACCTTTAAAGGACTCTGTCATAGTTCTTTTGTGTCCAGTATAGTGCCTAGAATAATGAGTGCTATGAAGACAACAGATACTTAAGAAGGCCCTACTGAACTTTCCAATTAGCGAAAGCTCCAGTACCTGACACAGACCCAGAGAAGCCCCATTCTGTTATTTCATCTCTCATAATCAGTGACTTACCGTGCATAGTCCTGGGGGGAGATCAGAAACTTCTCTTTCATTTGGAACTCAGCCTTGTTCTCCCACCAGAATCTGTTAGTTGCTTTCTTGTGCTCTGGGCTGAGAATGAACGGATAATCTCAATGACAGATTACAGAATATTCCTCAGACATCTAGGCATTAGATAAGTAATGCACACTGACATCTGGGTTTCTGCCTCTGGGCAAGGCTGAGCGAATACTGTTACTAGTCTTCCAGATGTCCAGTCTCCCTCTTCCAATAAAAACGGGAGAATCTGAGAGCAGATGATGGGAGGTAACCGTGAGCCAGCCGCCCAGCTGCTCCACTACCACCCGGACCATGGCAGCCCTAAGCCCTCCACCCCTCAAGGATGCCATGCCTGTAAGCTGAGTCGACCCACCCAAACCACAAAAGCGTTCCGCCTCTCACTCACCCCAACCCCCCCCCACACACACACACGCACCAGTATGCGAAAGTGCTGGATGAGGCTCCCAGGCCGGATCTCACCTGGCCAGATGCTCCAGCAGCCCCCCGTGCAGCACGGTCAGGTCTCCGTGGCTCAGGTGTTTCCGCACCTCACAGCCGCAGCACGGGCACCAGCAGCGCCGCTCGTGCTCGGGCACGTAGCGCTCCACCTGTGCGGCGCGGGTGGCCTTGCGGGCGGCCTCTACCTGCGGCGGAGAGGGTACCCGCTGGAACCCCCACGTCCCACCCTCGCGCCCTCCCTGCACTGCCGGCATCCCCCACCCGAGGCCGTCCGCGACCCCTTCCCGCCTCCCGGCCGCACCTGGGGCAGGAGCCGCTCCAAAGCCGCCTTCAGCTGCCGCTGGTGCTTGCGACTGTAGACGTGTCCGCGACCACAGAAGAAGGTCTGGCGGCACAGGGGGCAACGCTGCGCCGGCGCCATGGGCCCAGGACTGGGTGTCCGCGACGCGCAGCGACTCTTTCGCCATCCGGTGACCCCTGACCCCTCGGGGGCGGGGCGAACCCAACGGTCCCCGCGGCCCCCAGCGGCGGGCAGGCGCCACTGCAGACCCATCTGCGGCTGCGCGAGTCCCTCCGGGCTCTCTGCAGACGTGCGCAGCCAGCCGTCATCGCTCTTCCCAGATGCTGTCTACCGAAAGTGGCAGCACCGCTGTGCGCATGCGCGGGAAGGAGCGCGCGCCACAGTTAGGTGCCGCTGCAGGACCACAAGCCGCACGCATGTCGGGGCATTGACATGGACCCGCATCAGGCAGTGGAACAGATTGTAATAGTATTGTAGGGTGCTCACTGTGTCTAGAGAGAGCTTCACATTAACTGCCTCACTTAATCCTCACAATAGTCCTACGTGGCGTACTATTATTGCCGGTATTTTACAGATGGGGAAACTGAGGCACGGGGCGGCAGTAACCGTGTGGAAGTTTGCACAGGCGTGAAGCATCGGAGGCAGCACCTCTGGTGCTCTTCAGTTCCGGCTGGCGGTAAGGAACGCATGCTGCAGGCGGCCTTCATCTGAGACCGAATCACAGCCATACTCCCAGGGGATGTTCTGAGCAGTGGTTACTGCGAAGCTGTGAAGGGGAAGCTATAAAAAGGGTGCAGAGTCATTGCTGAGGGTTAATAGACATTTTTATTCTGTAAACTTGCTCATCCAGTGGAATTTTCTTTTTTTTTTTTTAAAGATTTTATTTATCCATTTCAGAGAGAGAGAGAGAGAGCAAGAGCAGGAACATAAGCAGAGGGAGATGGAGAAGCGGGCTCCCCGCCGAGCAGGGAGCCCGATGTGGGGCTCTATCCCAGGACCTGGAATCATGACCTGAGCCAAAGGCAGATGCTTAACGACTGAGCCACCCAGGCGCCCCATGGAATTTTCATTCTTTACAAGCTACTTTTGCTAGAATGAACAGCTTTTTGTCTATCCTGCTCCCCTAAGTCTTAGGGCCTAAGGTAAATTGCTCCCTTACACAGCTGAAATCCCCAGGCTCTGATCTCTACCCTAGAGCACCCCAAAAAAGCCCGGGGCCCAGCCCAGACCTTACTTACAGGATGTGCCTGACAGAACTCACACAGAGTCACAAATTTCACTTAGATTTGTTACCAGTACTGATGCATTAACCTGGATGGGCTACAATGTCTGTGGGTGTACATACAGTCAACTATACATAATTCAGGCCCAGAAAGTAGCCAGACTCCCCTTCAGATCTTGACCTCCTCTTGGAGCTTCCCAGTAGACTCAGGCCTCTGTCAGATGTGACTCATTTTGAAGATCCCCCAACACTCAATTCCTTGACCTCCCATCATTTCCCTGGCAGGGTCAATCCTAGACCTTGTCTGCCCAACAGTGCTCCTTCTCTAAATTCAAACTCTGAAGTTGTATTCTGACCACCATCTTCCATCCTCCCATGTGGCCTTAGTTTCCATCTTGTCTTTAACTGCAGGAAGACCTCCAGTCTTGAAGATGAGTACTCTTACCCATTCACTCAGAAAACTATTCAGCATCTACCAGCTGCTTTGTTCTAGGTTCTCAAAGCGTGGCCTTCAGGTCAGCAGCATCAGCGTCTGGAAGCTTATTAGAAATGCAAATTCTTGGGCCCCACCACAGACCTACTGAATCAGAAACTCTAGAGTGGGGCCCAGCAATCTATGGTTTAATGAGCCCTTCAGGTGATTCTAATGCTCAATCAAGTTTGAAAATTAGTGGTCTAGGTCTTAGGTCCTCTTGGCTTCGCTGGATCCCAACATCGTTCCCACTACACTCTCATGGCAACCTACACTTCACTTGACCCTCCCAGACCTCTCATTTTATCAAACCCCAAATGCAGATCAACACAGCCATCTGTTTCCCTCATTTGTTCCCAAGCTGCTTAGAGTAGTCTACACTGCTTCAACTTCTACTAACTTCTTAGCCCTCTACAATTTTGCTTTTGAAACTGTTTCCCTAAAGTTCTCCACCACGGAGTGTTCATTCAGTTGCAACTGAACTTGACTTGTGTGAAATGGAACTCAACATCTTCCACTTGAGAACATCCCCTATTTTCATCCTCCCAGGGAATACCACCAAGCTAAAGCCTGGAGTTTTGGGGAGAGTTATCTTTGACACCTGCTTTTACTCAGTCCCCATATCCACCCTGTTCAAGTTGTCTTACTGGATTTCTGAGACGTTTAAGTTCTGTTCTATACTCTTTATACTCCTAGAGCAAACCTTGCCTCAATTCCCTTGCTCTTTTGCTTAGATTCACGTAAAATTTTTCTAACTGGTTTCCAAGTGTGTGGTCTATGTTAGCTCCATTTATCCTCCAGACTCCTCACTGAGCAGAGCCTAACTTGAGGCTTGACACGGGGGCTGGATCCCATGACCCTGAGATCATGACCTGAGCCGAAAACAAGACTGGGTCACTTAACAGACTGTGCCACCCAGGCGCCCCAGACTCTTGATCTTGGGGTCATGAGTTCAAGCACCATGTGTGTAGATTGTACTTAAAATAATAAAATGTTAAAAAAAAAAAAAACTAAAAGGTTTTCTATGCTTAGACATCACATTTATATATATGAACATAATTTTTGTCACATTTGTAGTCATATCCAACATATTATTTTGCTGGGGTTTTTTTCCTCCTCAGAATGTGTTGTGGGTGGGGCGCCTGGGTGGCTCAGTCGTTAAGCGTTTGCCTTCGGCTCAGGTCATGATCCCAGGGTCCTGGGATCGAGCCCCGCATCAGGCTCCCTGCTCCGCAGGAAGCCTGCTTCTTCCTCTCCCATTCCCCCTGCTTGTGTTCCCTCTCTAGCTGTGTCTCTGTCCAATAAATAAATAAAATCTTTAAAAAAACAAAACAAAACAAAAAGAATGTGTTGTGGGTATCTATATTAGCACATAGAACATAAATACTATCTATATCCCGATGACTCTCAGATGTATTTACATCTTCAGCTCAGACTTGTCTTCTGAACCCCAGACTTATAACAGTTATCTGTTATAACTGCCCTGATGTCTCACAGATTCTAAAGATTTTATTTATTTATGAGAGAGAGAGAGAGAGAGCACAAGCAGGGGAAGTGGCAGGCAGAGGGAGTAGCAGGCTCCCCACTGAGCAAAGAGCCTGATGTGGGACTCAATCCCAGGACCCTGGGATCATGACCTGAGCCAAAGGCAGGTGCTGAATGCACTGAGCCATTCAGGCGTCTCACAGATTCTAATCAGAACTGCTCAAACATGCTCCTCCCACAGGCTTCCCCACCTCACCATTCTCCCCAATTGCTCAAACAAACAAAAAATCTCAGCCTTGGGGCGCCTGGGTGGCTCAGTTGTTACGCGTCTGCCTTCGGCTCAGGTCATGATCCCAGGATCCTGGGATCGAGCCCCACATCGGGCTCCTGGCTCAGCCGGGAGTCTGCTTCTCCCTCTCCCTCTGCCTCTCCCACTGCTCATGCTCTCTATCTCTGTGTCTCAAATGAATAAATAAAATCTTTAAAAAAAAAAAAAAAGGGCGCCTGGGTGGCTCAGTCGTTAAGCGTCTGCCTTCGGCTCAGGTCATGATCCCAGGGTCCTGGGATCGAGTCCCACATCGGGCTCCCGCCTCGGCGGGAAGCCTGCTTTCCCTCTCCTACTCCCGCTGCTTGTGTTCCTACTCTAGCTGTCTCTCTCTCTGTCAAATGAATGAAATCTTTAAAAAAAAAAAAAAAAAAAAAATCTCAGCCTCACTTCACCTGCGTCCAATCAGTCCTATTGACTTATTGATGCTGCCTCCAATCTACATCTCAAATCAGCCTGCTTCTCTCTAGTTCTCTGGCTGCTGCCCTAGTCCACCTGGACTACTGCATCACCTCCTAACAAGCCCTGTTGCTTCCATGTGTGCCCTCCTAGCAGCCACTGCCAATGAGTGGCTAAGTAGAATTTAAAAAATAAGGGGCACCTGGCTAGCTCAGTCTGAAGAACATGAGACAGCTTGATCTCGGGGTCGTAAGTTCGAGCCCCATGTGGGGTGTAGGGATTACTTAAATAAAACTTAAAAATAGATAAAATCAGCTTCTGTTACTTTCACTATACTTGAGAAAAAAAATGTAAATCCCTTATCATAACCTAGAAAGGCCCACATGGCCTGGTCCCTGCCTCCCTCCCCAATCTCACCTTGGGTCTTTCTCCCCTAGCTTACTATATTCTGTCCTCTGTGGCCTTATCCCCATTCCCTCAATAGGCCCAGGTGAGGAGGTCCCTCCCTCCCAGGCTTTGTCCACTTTGTTCCCTCTACAAAACACTTTTACTCCCCATTCTACAGCCTGGATACTCATTATCCAGGTCTCAGCTAAAATCTCTTACAAAGGACTTCTCTGGGACGCCTGGGTGGCTCAGTCATTAAGTGTCTGCCTTCGGCTCAGGTCATGGTCCCGGGGTCCTGGGATCAAGCCCCAGGTCGGACTCCCTGGTTAGCGGGGAGCCTGCTTCTCCCTCTCCCACTCCCCCTGCATGTGTTCCCTCTCTCGCTGTCTGTCAATTAAATAAATTAAAAAATCTAAAAACACAAAACAAATAATGGTTGCGTAAGTGAAAAAAAAAGGAGCCGAGGGTAGGAGTAGAATATGCTATTAGAGGGCAAAAGAGGCAAAGGCAGGTTTGTCTCAGGGCCGCTTTTTCCACAAAGGCTGTGTTGTTTTGTTCTTTACTTCTGACCTGTTACCTTTGGGATCCACTTGCAACTCAGACCAGACATGGACAGGAATGTAGACAGGGATAAGGATGTAGACAGAGGAGGTGGACAAATTGAGGCCAGACCAGATGGAACTAGAGCTGAGGAGTTGGGACCCTGTCCTGCTTCCTGGGAGCTAGCTAGACCCGAGTGGTGGTGGGGGCGGTGGGGGGCAGGGGCTCTGGCTGCACAGTGCTCGGTGGGCCCAGAGGGAGGGACATGAACGACCTGGTCCCTCTACCCACTCCCCCATATCACATAGAGATGAGCATCCAGAGGGTCTGGGAGGAGAGAAT